CTGTTTAGCGGGAAAGTGGCAGCTATGTAGTTATCAGTCTATCACCGGCTTATTTCTGAAAGCGAAAGTAGATCTTGATTTTCCCGATCGAGCCTCGGTGTCACGCACACTTTCACCTGCCGCCATAACTGGCTTTTTGCGTGAAACGTACTCTCGGACGGGGAAAAGGAGAACGAATATTATATCACAATAGCGACCGGCTAAAACGGAGTCATGTACCGCGGCTAGGGTTCAATGAAGCCTGTTTTGGCTTCATCACTCCCTACGCAGATTAATTTATGACCGTTTACCAAATGTTTACTACCTTCAAGGCGCATTTACTACCATTTATGACCTTTACGACCAGAGCGCCGAATTTACGACTTTTTTATGACTTTACTGGACACCCTGTTGGTTACACAAAATGGATGTGTGTCTCTATGATAGGTCAATCGTACTATACAATGTATGAAAAGATATAATCTAAACATGCAATGATCCACAGATGGTCCATTGGAGTAGAGAAAATAAAGTGTGTTGCGACAGAAAACTGTGCAAAGCCACATCTGTGGGTGCTGATCACCTTGCAAGTGACTTTATTGAATCTGGCTTCCCAATTTATGTATTCGATTTTAAAAATGAGTTCTGTTGTGAATTTTAACACTTACAGTACCGTCGGCAGGCCCGTAATTTCCGCTCAGTACCCGTCTCGACCAGGCACACTAAACAACATAAGGAACTTCTCCACGGAAGTAATTATCAAGGCAAATCACTCTATGTGATAGCTGAATCATTAATGTCACGTTGTGAATTTTTTTGGGAACATTTCTTGTGCTGTGATGGCTTTTTTTTGGTGCATTTTTTGTTCTACCATGGCTTCAGCGTTCCCAGATCGCTATGCCTCCTATTCAGGCAAAGAGCTTAGTGACTGTAGTGACAATGGGTCTTATCTTGACAAATTTGTTTGAGGTAGAGCCTGACAGTGACATAGACAGATTCATCGTGTTTCTTCGTGTGTTAGATCTAATGGTGACGCAGGACCGTCAACGGGTAGTGTTGGTAGGTCCAGGCCTATGGGTGATAGAAATTTAGGTGGGCGTGTCTACCCTCTCCATACAGAATGGGAGTTTTATCCTGATGTCTATATGTGGCAAAAAAGGTTTTTCTACAAAGTACATTTCTTAATACATCTTGAAAATTTCAAGTAATTCTGTGAATGACTTTTGTTTCAATGAATTTTTTTGTAACTTACCCTAATTATTTTGTTGGCTTCTAAATCGGTGCAGTACTCAAGGGTTTTTCACTATGACCCTGCGGTACTGTGTTAAAGAATAAAAAAAACCAGGGATCTGCATTAAGGCATAAATTACAAGGAATTACCAAAAGAGACCATACTATGGATATTCTACCCTTGAAAACACTGACTTACATTTTGGTCCAGGGCATCAGCAATCATTTCAATAGACTTTGCTTTGGCTGTGGCTTTTGCGACCAATGCTTCTGCTTCACCTGATAGAAATCCATACAATGAATGTTGTAGAGGTGAGAAAACAAAAATTATACTAAACTACGCCCCCATGGCACTGTCAATAACATTTTTTAGAAGGAAACAAAATATTAACTGAATAATGTCTATACAGAGTAGAGAAAAAACAATTAAAAAATTTATGTCCATATTTTGCTACCTGCTGAAAATTTTGGAAAATGCATTTTGAAATGTTCATTCCACTCGTCTCGATTGTTTGTTTTAGTAGAGATTTTACGGCACTCGCAACTGCATAAGGTCATATTAGCGCCAGAAGATTAGAGGTGTTACAAGAAAGTAACAAACACAAAAAAGAAGGAGGGGAGATAAGGACGATAGATGTTTATTAGGATAGAAGCAAACCACACCACAGCACCCGCCAACCACCCACTCCACTCGTCTCAAAAAAAGTAAATATAACATTAAAACAAGAATATAATTCATTATTATACTAAACTTACCCTGAGCCTGATTGACTTGTTCAGCTTTCACAGCTTCGGAATTCAAAATTCTTGCTCGTTTTCTTCCTTCTGCAACATTAATTTCTGCTTCACGACTACCTGAAATTAAAATTTTTTTTTTAAAAAAAGGTAACCATAGATCAGTCTGCAAGATTTCTTTTTTTTTTTTCCATGCTAAGAAGATATAATGGAAAGGGATTTCTTGGGATCTTGGGAGTACCTTTCTCAATCTCAAAGCCTTTTTCTTTTGGGAGTCAGGACATCAAATAGCAGATAAGCTGTACTGTTCATAACATTTTCAAACACCAAAAGGGGGACACTCAAAGGCAACACTTTTATTTTTCAATGTTTGGCTGCAAATGAAAAGGAAGGCTAAACTTACTGCATACTAGCATACAATGCTGACAGAATTCTGGAACCGGAGAAACTGCCGTGTTTGTGTGAATTTTTTTCCGTTTTTCAAAAACTAAGACTAAGAAAAAGAGCTGCTGTGTCATCGTCGACCAGATGTCTTCTTTATTACTGTAAAATTTCAGATCCCTTTGTGCAGTAGATTTTATGCACCCACTAAAAATTACCACCCATCCAACAATAAAAGGGGTCAGAAACTGAACAAGCTCACAAATTGGAATGTGGAAGGTGATGTGATTGGCTGCCTAGAGCTAAATAGGTCATAAATAATCCATTGCAGGTTGTCCCTTGAGGCTTGCCACTTTGTTAAGTTGCAGAGGGGGAAAACGGAGAACAGCGCTGATTCTTTTATGATCAAAGTTATATCCTTTCTGTTAGAGCTGGATCCTGCTCGCCAAATCTGAGAGTGGCGATTCGCGATTCAGTCGGCTTCAAAGAATAGCGAGTACACGAGCGCTCGCGGAACTCCGGCGGAACACTGACTGAAACGGAACATTGTCATATCAATGCCACTCGGCGAGGGCGAGTCCCACTCTTGTTGTCCCACCACCATCTCCGCCCCACACCCTTCGTTGCGCAGCTCTATCTACTGACCTCAATTAGCGACCACATAAATTCACCCCCCCCCCCCCAAACTCCATGATTCGCTAAATCAATGGCTCTATAAAATTACTTCTGTCTATAGGTTGGACCCCGTTCATTTTGTTTTAATAGGGGGGTTGGACTATACCATCTTTTGTAAAATTAGGGGAGCCATACTTCGTTAACTAAGTGTTCCGTTCTGTCCTTGGGCTCGCGACTGGACTCGGCAGAAGGTTACAAACAAGCTGCAAGGTGGTGACAGCGACAGGAGAGTGAATCGGAAGGCGATACTGTTCCGCTGAAGTGAATCGCGAATCACGTTCCACAGGCAAGAGTGGCAATTCAGTTCCGTTCTCGAGCTCGCGACCCAGCTCTACTTTCTGTAACAGGTTGTGTAAATTCAATTAATTTCTGCCCATTATGTTCAAAATAAGACTAAATTAGTTTTTTAGCAAAGATGTGTTGAAGCCTTATAAAGTTTTGTAAAATTTGAACCTGTCTCTCATGCCTGTGTCCCCCTATCGTAGCAGTTCAAGTGATGTCGCACAATTAACTCTTTCCGGACGCATCACCGATATATCGACGCCAGTCCACACCCCTTGCGGACGTATCACCAATATATCGGCTGTGATATGGGGCCTCAGTTTTGTTTCGTTTTAACACGATCCGTCATTTATAATTACTTTTTATTGCTTCTAATGCATACTTATGTTCAAAATTAATCCTTGTTTTATATTGGGATGTATTCCTCATTCAATTTCCTTCAATTTGATATATCATATGTTACGTTTGGAGTGATGGTTATGCTTCTATGAACTTATTTTCTACACCACCTGCATAGCCAAATTGAGCCACAGGTTAATTATTTCTACACCCCAAAAAAGCTACGTCCGGAAAGAGTTAAACAAGTTTCCCGCAAATATTAGCCTTAAAGATCCAAAGTAATAAAGACATTGAAAAATTGATAGTAGAACTAGATTCTGCACATAAAGTCACATAGAGATGGCAAGTTTCATTCATTTACTCAAATTCATTCCTGACTAACTGACAGTTTTCAGTCAAAAGACATCATGAATCGTCCCACTTTTTAGTGATACTTTTATATATTAAAGTCCCCCCAAATTTTGCAACAGAAAATCCCAACAACTTTTTAATTTATCAATGTACTTTTTCAGATTAAAAAACCATAGTTCTTAAAGTTTACCCCCTCCTCTTTCATTTAAGCTTGTTTTAAAGTAATTTGAACAAGAATTAAGATTTTTCATTGTCATCACAAATAGCGCATCATCTTTCTTATATCTAAAACAGTCACAAACAGTCCACAGTAATTCTTCTATCACACATTTCACAGCAATTTAGAAAAGACTGCATTCTTGTTTACAGCACTTGAAAAACAGTGTTCTCTCCTCCTCCTTTGATTTTTTGTTTTGTGGTGACGCTTTGATTTTGATGTGCGAAAGGAAACAATGTAGCTCAATTAGAAGGAAGAGCACTATACTCTCATAAAATACACCAGGTTGAGAGCAAAAAATAATCCAGGAAAGACTAGAAATACTAAGACTTCAATTCAATTAAAACCCTAGACTTTAATAGGTGGGATACATTTGCCTACCAGAGGCCAGCCCAGTGCCTTCTTATTCTCAATTAAATTGACAGCATTCCTGCTGCATGTCACATTATTAAAAAATCAACAGGTATCTTTCAGGTAACACAGGAACTTTCTTGCTCATGATCACAAACTAGCACCTACATATAAATAAAACAGGACTCAAACCTTCTGACTCTAACACTGCGGCTCTTTTCTTCCTCTCTGCCTCCACCTGCATCTGCATAGCCTCTTGTACTTTACTTGGTAACGTCATATCACCTGGGGAACAATAACACTGCCGTAAGCTGACAAAAACACCTTTTTTTATTCACAACAATTGCGAGATAAATAGGCTTTTTGTCAACCTAACCATTTAAAAATAGCATTCTTCCGAAATTTGAATTCTAATTGATTAAAAAACTAATCAGTTTCACTTTGATTTTTTCACACAAGTAAGGTAACCGATCCGGCTTTGGATTTAGCAAATAAAAAAGTGTGGCGCCAAAATGAAAAAAAAAGGTGTACTGACAGCTTACGGTAGTAACTAATACAACCTGCATCTTTGTTAAACTGAGTGCCCATTAAAAATGCTAATACTGTACTCAACCAATATCAACTAAAAAAAAATAAACACACAGCCATGGACAAATTTGAATTAGGTGTAGCCATTTTTCAGACCGTAACGCACTAAGCTGCACTTGAATATCAAAGTCATACATTCTGACAGCCTTTTCTAGAAAGAAGATTGGAAAAATCTTCGCCACATTGAACAATAAATATTCAAATAGCATCATTCACATGTGTCACAATGAGGTGGAATCAGACGCTCGTCAATTTTTGAGCATGATGAGTTATTGGTATTATATGAAAGCTTATTCATTTGCCTTGCTTTCACAACAAAAAAAAACCCATGCATCTTCAATAAAAGTTGAGATATTTGCGATCAAAGAAGACAGGGTCGCTGAACTTCAGGGGTAAAATGATAATTTCAAAGGCTGAGAGTCCTTGAAAACCATAAAATTATATATTTTGTGCCTTAAATCAACTTTTTTTCCAGTAGAATTCACATGGAAATATGTTTACATATGGACACGAAAGGTGTTGAGCCACTTTTCCGATCCAGCGGCCATTTGGGTTCTAGCCCTTCGGTCTGATGTGTTGAGCCAAAAAAACCCAAAAAACGATAAAAATTGCCAAACTGGCGGGAAAATACCCGTTTCTTCGATTTCAGTATTTTGACGGGCACATGATTTCACCACAGTGCTTCACATATGATTTTGGAAGAATCGAGAATTTACTTACGAATCTCATATCTCATGCATTTGATTCCCCAGGCATGGGCGGCAGTATTGATAGAATCTGAAGAAAAAAAAGAATTAGTTGCCATGAGTTTTGTCACAACTGAAGTATATTTGATCTAGTAAGCGAAACACTTACGGAAGTCAAGTTGAGAGTAAAAAGATGAAGTACTGGCTGATCTGAGATCATCTTGCGAGGCTTTCAGTCAAGAAATCTTCGCTTGAAGTAAAGGGATTATTTATCCTACATTTTAATTATATGCTAGGAGAAGGCTTGCTTGAATTTTTTTAACAAGTACCATTTTTATAGCAGATGGCCGGTAAACTATGGTGTTTGGCAGGTAAACTATGGTGTTTACCTTGTATGCACAATACCTTTCAAAGAAAACAAACTAAATTCAAAAACTCACCAACGATAGCAATGTTTAGAGATTCTCTCTCCCTGAACACTGTGTCCAGAGCAATCTTGCCAATCTCAGACCTCATGGTGGTCTGTGCCAGTTGGGTGATGGCATACTCTGGGTCTTCAACACCATAGGACGCCTAGAAGAGGATGACATCAAATGACACTGAGGCTGTGATTATATAAAAACTAAAACAACACAACGATGCAAGGTTTGCACTTTTCACTACAACAAACAGGTCTTATAGAGGAGTTTATAACGGCAACGGAGCATAATCCTGTACAAAGCAAAGCAGATCTGTAACGACAGGCTGGCCCAAAAAGGACGAGAGTCCAAAGTTCAACAGACTAAACTCTAGAGACAATAGAAGCATTTTTAAAAATCTAATGATGTCCAACAATTGGGTGAGAATGATGAATTTAACTTTGAAATAAAGTTCAAAGATGCATCATAGCATCAATTTGTCTTATAATAAAACATACAGCACTTTAGTTTAGATGTACAAAAAAAAAAAAAAAAGAAAACAACGCAAAAAACATAGATACCTTAAATGGATCAACTACCCTCAAGTATAACACAGCATCCATAGTCAAGGTGACATTGTCTGGGGAAATACAAAGACACGTATAGAATTGTATTCTGTCAAAGGGTAGCTGGTTCTTGATGTCTGAACTATTTCTACTATGTCAGTAATATCAACTTACCTTTGTTGAGAGAGAGCCCAACATAATAACCATCATCAAAATCATCCAATGAATACTTAAAAGCATGCATTAATCACCAGTAAAAATTACCAACCAAAGACCAAATCTGATTTAAAAAGTAAAACACCAAACAATTTATAGTTTAACCTTATGCGACACACAAAGTGCAAACACAAGTATCAACATCATGCAGAATGAATGAGAAGCTGTTCAATTTATTTTCCTTATCAGTTATCATTATTGTTGTCATAAGCTGCTACATAACGTTTCACATTTCAAATTATCATTTCAGATGATTTCTAGAAAGGGAAGAAACTTTCCAGGATAATCAACACGGAACTATACACACATTTATAAATTTGAATCTTTAAAGGAGTTATCATTACCCAGAGTAATGGCTGCCTGGTGTGGTACATCTATCGCAATTTCCTTTAAGCTTTGGACATACTTTATGGAGTCGATGATAGGCAATATAATGTTGAAACCCTGTAAAAAACAAAAAACAATAACAAACAAACAAAAGATACATGCTTGCAAATAACAATTTTATCATTTCTTTCAAAACTGCGCAATTTGAAAAATAACTCTATTACTTTTCTAAAAAGAGCCAGGAAAACATGACCATTAATACTAAAAGAAACCACAGCTTTCTTTTCAGTGATTCTTCAGTATCCTTCACATTCAAGCCCATCCGCCCTGCGAATGAAAGTAATTTGTGTATGCCCCTCGATACATTCAAGAGGCAGGTTGCTTCCACCATAAGTCCATCAGAAAGACTGAGAAGCTTGATAAAACAACAAACGTGAATTAAACTCGTGTCTTTTGCTTTCAACAGTGAAGATTCCTACTAGTGACACAGGAACAAAAACTATTATGACATTCAGAGCTTAAAATTTTAAACAATTACAGATAATGCAATTTTAGAAAAAGCAAAATTACCATTCTTCAGCTGAAATATACAAGAGCCTACAAGTAAATTGAAAATACAATAAAAAAGTTTTAATAAATCATTATTAAAGAAAATTACAAATAAAACCTAATTTTTCCCTTTTGTTTCATTCCCTCAACCCTGAAGTTTCACACACACCGGTTCCAAAATCTGTTTGTACTTTCCAAATCTTTCAATAACCCAGGCTTCTTGTTGAGGTACAAATAAAATCACAGTGTTGATGGGAAGTCGAGACCTGTGTCGCACATTCTGTTTTGCTTGATTCAGTGAAGCCTGTAAGGAAAAATATAAACACACATGAAATAATACTATATGAAAACAGACAAAGGAGAAAAATAAATCTTGAGGCAGAAGCAGTAAATCAAGTTTGAAGGAAACAACAAGAAAGATCTGTTCATGTATGAAACAAAGTTAGTTTTGAATATTATGTCAGAATCATTCACAGTAACCGGGCATGTAGTCTCAGTATCTCTGTACACGTTAACCGGGTACAGTAGTCTCCGCCTAAACGCACGCCATACAAAAGCACGCTCTGCTCAAACGCACGCTTTCGTCATCTGACAGGTTTTTTTACTATATAATTTAGACGTACAAACGCACGGTCACTCCCTCTATACACATGCTCCGATCCGCGAAACACACCGACAAGTTAAGCTTGGCAAGGGGAAATGTTTATCATACCAGTAGACCTGTAGAACTGGTGAAGTGGATGCGTGTGTTTGCCTGAGTATCAACGATCTCAATTCAATGAACCAGAAATCACACACTACACCGTACTTCACGCTCTCTTTTTTTTACTTTTTGGCCTAGCAGCCTGAGCCTATGGCACATCACTTTCGGAGTCTCTCCGCACCATCTTCCTCTGCCGCCTGCCCCACCTCATTCATCACTGGACTGATAAATCACAACGCCACACCGCCGACTGCCTGTTTGGAGCCCGTCATCCAACCCCCTTCCCCTAACTAGAGCTCGCTCGCTCGATCTCTCCTACTGTATCCAAGTTCTGGACTTTCCTTGCCCCGTTAAATCAAGCATGAATAATTGAGTACAACATAGAAAAAGGGGGATTCCGGTGAAGTCCCACTACTGCAGGTGCCGCTATAGTCATGTTCTACTGTATGAGGAATGTTTAAGTAGTAAAAAAAAATAGGCTTACAAATGCTTAACTTTGAAGGTCATCTTTGACCTTGCCCGTGACCATGGGGTCAGATGGAGTAGTAGTGCATCTAGATCTACACAAGGTGTCTATGACTATGAACTTGGATAGAGGAAAAAACGGAACTGAAATGGCCATTGTCAAGCAACATGGCCGCACACAAAGCAGACATCGGAGAATGTCGGAGTTCGCACAGTGCACGCACACACAACATGGCGAGTCACACAACACGATATTTCTGTCTAGAAAATGAGGGTGGACCTTCCTGTTACTGCGGTTACCGTGTATGTGGACTCTGAGACTATGTGCCCGGTTACCGTGTACATAGACACCCCCTCCTTTATATAAATAAAAAATACAGTCAAACCTGTGTAAACCTCCACCCATTTTCAAGGAGAAAAGTGGCCATATAACACAGGTGGCCGTCTTAGGCAGGACTGATCAAAAGGAAGAAAGCAAACCATTCTCTTCTGAGGTCCAAACCAGGGGATGATCTCAGGCTTAGGGCTGCCTAAGGCGAATTTAGATTAAAAGGGTTTTTACTTTCTTTTGAAAATGGAGGATAAAGGGGTGTAGTAGGGTTTTGCTGCTGCTGTTGCTGTTTTGTTGGTTTGTTTTTTGGTTAGCTTATTTTAGTTGCAAACTTTGTGCAAAGATAAAATAGACAAATGTAAGACGATGAAGACCGAGTACCATGGTAAAACAAGCACACAGGTCATTACCACTCAGAGAATGAAAGACACTTCTGTCGCAAATTCGCGTCAACGTCAATTGTTACTTTGTTAGAGATTAGGTAAACAAAACAGTGACCAGTCATCTCACATGCGAATTGTGCATGAGTTGTGGGCGGGGCTTATAGGTTATGACGGATCACACGTTTCCCTCACCAGCAGTTGAAAATTTATTGTTGCCCATTGGTCAAATTAGGTGTAAACATTCATCGGAGGGACAAATTACAACGACAGGTAAATGGACTATGACTCATGACGCCCGTCCACAGCATTAAAGGCTGATTCAAAATTTATGACAAAGCATCAGGCAATGAGTGACCACACCTGGCCATCTGAGGCAGGTAAATTTGACCGTGGGTTGATAAAATAAGGTGGCCGCTGCCGCGATGGACAGGAGCCCGTTTTACACAGTTAAATTATTTATAGAAAATACGCAAATACGCAAGAGGGGAAATGGAAAGTGTCTGTTTGAACAGGTGGCCATATTATACAGGTGGCCATCATGGCAGGTTCGACTTTGTATATCAGGTACTACTTAAGAATGTGGGCCCCGTTAAACGATGACTACAAAGTGTGGGTTTTGGCTCCACCGACGATTATTTCCGGCACCAAACAATTACTTTTTGACGCGTGTGCCTATATGGAAAGATATCAAACCTAATTGCAAAACATCAAATTATAGTCAAATTCAGGGGGCATGCCCTCCTGACCCCCCCCCCCCCCCCCCCCCAAAGTTTTTGTTGGGTGAAATATGTTATTAAACAAGTGAAATTCTACTGCTTATTTTGTAGGCTACTGAAAAATAACAGCACATCTCTCGCTCTCGTTGGGATCAAACATCGATACTGAATATTTAAGTCAATATTGATATCCAGTACTCTGGGTGCACGGGACCTACATTCTTAAGTAGTACCTATACATTTTCAAACATGCTAGCAAACCACCCAAGTGATGTAGTGTCAGACATTGCAAAAATGAGAAGGACAGAGAACAACATTTGAGAAGGAAGGCTGCCGGTATTGGTACAATAGTGCGTACAACTCTAACTAGTTATTAGTACAATTGTACCAATAACCACACAGTCATTCGTACAATTATTCAAATTTTGGAGGTTGTTGATATGAATACCAGTCATTTCGTCACACCAGTGCAGTGAAGACGTCACAGTAATCTCGTCACACCCTAAATCCACAAGGTTGAATGGAGACGATAATTTCGTAGCACACTTGCAAACATCAAACACGCATTCAACCATTGTAATGGCAATCGCAAATCACGATTTTTGGGAGAGGGTTGGGGCTGTGCGAGTCGTTGTGCCTACCTGATCAGCTACACCGTTCATAAATACGTATTGACAATATGAAAATCTATCAAGTCAGATCAACAAAGTTTTTAGGTATTTGATGAAAGGTGTGATTGGCAAGACCATATATTATTAGCTCTGTTAAAAATAAATTAGCTAATAGAAGCGTACGGTACTTACTGCGATTTTGCAAAAAGCTAGATCCTAACTTTCAGACATAAAGCTTTAATTAACTCTTTACCAGACATTGATTTTGACTTATGAATTTAAATAATAATGTTCAACTATGGAACAGTTTGGACGAAGATTTAATTTACATTAATAATTTATATAACTTCAAAAAAAGCTTTAGGCTGATCCTCCCCAACGCTACTAGCATTATAACAATTTTGGAGAGATAGGCCTATAATATAAGTGAAGTTATTTCATCACACATAATTGGGGTGTGACGAGATGACCATGTGACGAAATGTAGCAATGACCAGGAAAAACCTTTTTTTCCCCAGAAAGTGTTTGCAAATAGGTGCATTTTGTAGCTTTATCTTCACAGAGCATGGAACTTTTTTGAATTTTTGAAATCCATCAATAAACAAAAAAGTTATGAATTTTTTAATCAATTAATTTTTGGTACACTATGAAAAAAACATAAAATATGGGACTTTCTTTGGTGAGTTTTGAGACAATATTCGTCATAACTCGTTCATTTCTCGGAGTATATTTAAAAGAAACTTGGCAACCCAGTACATTTTCTAGTGCAAAATCTAGTCCTGCTTTCAGATTTTCCATAGCTATCCTATTTTTTGAGTTATGAAGACGTTTATAGGTAAAAATGTGGCGGTTTTCGGTGCGTTTTGAGACAATATTTATCATAGCTCGCCTATTTCTTGGAAAATGTCAATGAAACTTGGCAGTCTAGTAGGCCTACATTTTTTAATGCAGAATCTAGTCATGCTGTGAGATTTTTAATATCTGTCATACTTTTTGAGTTGTAAAGACATTAACAGGTAAAAAAGTGGCGTTCTTTCCAGATTTACAAAGATTCAGTCATACGTTCTCCCAGAGTCATGACATTTGAATGAAACTTGGCAACATAAAAGGTTCCTCCTTGCCAAGCAATGCTCTGGATCAATTTGTCACAAAAATGTAAGTAGAGAGCTGGATTTATTAGTCTAATAAATCCAGTTCTTTACTAGTAAAAGCAGGCATACTTTGTTATAGATAGTTTACAAGTCATGGGAATATTTAGCATGTGTAGGCTACAACTCGTACAATAAATGTAACATATTTACACCCCCCCCTTCTCTCTCTCTCTCTCACGCGCACACATACACACACATGCACGCGTGCGCACTCACGTGTGAACGATAACAATGTATAAACAGGACTATCTTCCCAGACTGGACTAAATAAGTACCACACTCTTTAATAACAATCTTAATGCCTCACTTTTCCAAACAGAGCACACAGGACGAGTCCAAGTGTGTGCTTTCCCAAGAGGGGGAATAGGCTTTCATAACGCAAACACGATGCCATACCACTTCTCAAGATGTTTGCTTTTCTGTTTCTATTCTTCTGTCATGCAATCAAGCAAATAAAAATGACTACATCTATTGTATTGTGACTAAAATGCAACAAAAACGCAAGTTATCAAGGCCCCCGTTTAGTTTTCAAGTATCCCCCCCCCCCTTTCCGGTTCACATAAGCGGGGCCTCGTTTGTAGCGCCCAAGGCGACCGATGGCTGATGACGTTACTCAGTGGAAATTTCCCAGCCTCCGGTCGTTCACCCAGCACGCGCAAATGGCAATGCCGCTTTTTCCCTTAGTTACTCCCACATTTTTAAAGATTACGCGAAAACCGCTAAACACAGAAGCATGAAATTTTAAGGGAATAAAGAAAAATGGTGTACAACGTATCAGTCAGTTTGACAAATCACAGCTCCGAAAAATCTTCAAAGCGCACCACATCAACCACTTTCGCAAACGTTTTCGACTACTTCTTGGATGGGTACAAAGTTGTCAAACTGCATACTACGAAATTGACCTCTTTTCTGATTGGCTGCCAAGTTTCATTCATATCCATTTACGAAAAGCGGTGTGAGAGTGAGTTGAAGACAACAACCTTTGCATTTGTGCGTCCCACGAAACACCCCCGCTGCGGGGGCCAAAAATCGGCAGAACAAAACACACTCGGTGGGCATTGCTACGAAATGACTGGCTACCGTTGATAAGCCTAGATCCAGTCGGTTCTCCTCTAAGTTGAGCATTAATATTAATTTAACTTTAACCAGGCCTAACTTGGTAGGCCCAAAAGGAAAAGTATACTTTTATAAGAATATAAGTAGACCTAGATCTATAATATGACTATTATGTTTCTCTTTGCTCGCCATCGTGAGAGTGGTCAGTGAACCTGTGCATGCGCATCACATTGCGAGTACCTGTCAGGGTCACCAAGTTCTTTCAAAGTCTGTGAGCTGCGAATAAAGGGTTCCGGAATGGGGGGATTATTGATTTTTTTAAAGGTACAGTCAGGGGAGGGGTGGGGATGAAGGCAACACCGGATGACAAAAACTGAACTTGGGGTTCTGGACTGCCCAGTTACTGTGTACGTGATACTGAGACTACACTCCATTTGAGAATAGGTAGCCTACTGCTGAAAGAGGGCTGATCTCCATCAAATTCTGTTACACAAAATAAAATGACTAGATCTAGATCTAGATTCTATTTCTAATCGAAGAGGCTAGCCTTAGACTGCCAGTCTAGCCGTACTTAGATCTAGGTTTTGCCCTATCGACTCAAACCTGTTGAATACACAGGTCTCATTAGATCTAGATCTAGTAATTATTCAGGTTCAAATACATGCAAGTCAGTAAGGCACCTTTTGGTTTTGTCTGAATACATTTTGATTTATATTTTAGGACTTTAGGCATTGCAAACAAAAAAATTCATTTACATTTCAGTCATCATTATTAAGTACGGCTAGCCTGCCATTCTAGCCGTACTTATCTTAGGGCCTATTAACATTAGAAAACAAGTCTCATAAGTCATTAGTAATTATTTAGGTATGTGCACTGTCAGTAAGGCACCTGGTTTCGCCTCAAATACAAATACTTTAGGTACTGCAAACTAAAAATTTACATTTACAATTCAGTAGGCCTATTTTTTGGGGTCAGTCAAGCCATCATAAGTACGGCTAGCCCAGCTGTCCAGCCGTACTTAACCCTGGAAGCACGCATGCCCTATATAAAGGGCGAGAGCCAGGCTACCCAGGAAGCGCGCACGCCCTATATATAGGGCTGACCTACTTCGACCGGGAAGCGCACAGGCCCTCTATAAAGGGCATAGACGCTAACCCTTTTCAATGGAAAATTCCAGTTGTTCCTTATATGGAATTGACGTAGTCAATTACAGGCCAAAGTTATAAATAGTGACCAATGACTTTGCAAGTTATCTTGACCTCGTAGAACGTCTCTTGGCCGAGATATCGATCGATAAAGTGACGCGGTCCTGCTGAGCGACTACACGCTATGTGTTATCACTTATTTCACTGTGCTGATGTACTAATTGTTGAGTCTATCGCGTTCTGGGCTTTGTTTGTATTTATTTGATCGCCGATCATTTTTGAATGGCTCATTCTATCAGCTTAAAGAAAATATATATGCTTTTAAATGCTTTTTATCATCTGTTGAGCCGTAAATGGTCATTTTTCAGTAGCAAGTACACATTTCGGATATCTCAGCTGATTCCCCCTACCAAACCCCCATGTTTACAACTGATCGGCCGTGGCGGCGGGGCATTCTTGGCGGGTTACTTCCGGTGAAACGCTGAGCGCTTCTAGGGTAAAGTATGGCTAGACTACTAGATCTAGAGATATAGTAGACCTGCATGTGAGCCTCAACCAGATTGTCTGAAAATTTTGAGCAACCCCCCCCCCCCCCGTAACTTTAGAGCTTTTAAATTGTGGGTGTCATAAAAGGAAGGATTTCCGAGTAACGAGCGACCACCCGTACAAACACAATAAAGAAGAGACCTAACCCTAACCCAAACCCTATCGGCCTACCCCTAGGCCTAACCCAAAAAAGAACCTGCAACGGCCCTCGTGTAAAAAGGCCAGCACAAGTCAAAAAAAAAAAAAAAAAGAAAATAAGCACACTCCAAAACAAACAAGGAGCATTTATAATTTATAATAAAAATAATATGGCCTACATTGCTATAATTTACTATAAAGAGTTTGATACAATAGAATTGGATAAAGATCTCATGAATCCTCCATATAGATCTCAGTGATCTAAATAAATCTAGATCTAGATCTAGATCTAGTAGAACAAGTGAATAGGAATAGATCTAGAATCTAGGCCTTGAACGAGAAATCCGCATCCGATTCCGAAGAGAGGGACTCAGCTGAGTCTAAGGGGCTAGATCTAGATATAGATCTAGATAGATCTTTATTCTAAGTAAATAATTCACGCACCTGAAAAAATGCGTTTTACCAACATTAATATTACAGCACAACCTATAATATGGTTTGACACAATAGAATTGGAATATGAATCCTCCATTGAGGTCTATAATGATCTATATAAATCTCGATCTAGAGTAGAACAAGTGAGTCGGACTTGAAAGAATCCACATGATCTGAACAATCAGTAAACAAACGAAATTCAAAATGGCCGCTCGAGCAAGAAACTGAAAGTAGATAATTTAAGTCGTCGTACTTTTTCGTATTCGTATTTCTACTCAGGTTCCGACAATTATGTCGGAAACGCCGACGTCGGCAGTCGGCGGTGCGCGCGTCGGCGGTCGACACGAAAACGAAAGTGCCGACAAAGCCAACGGGAGAAAAAAGGGTCGCTGGCACACGGCCAGGCCTCGCACTTCGAACATTGACTAATACAGGTGGGCCTAGCCATAGCATCGGCCGGTTCGCGGGTCGGGGTCGCAATTGTCGGATTTCAGACGATTGTCGGCAAACATGCAGGTCTAATATAGTCTAGCCGTCATTAAGTACGGCTAGCCTCTTCCATTTCTAATTTGAAGTAATTGAAAGTCCCAATAGAAACCACATCATGAACAGCAAGATCAATAATATTGGCGATGGCGAAATCTTTTCATCATGTGTCAGTGTCAGTGTCCTTGAACGGTGAAGAGGGGCCTAACAACTAAGTAAGTAGGTCTACTGATAGATGCGAGTTAAATGAGGGCTGTCAAGGGCATTTCCTTATTTAACCACAGATCTTTTCCGAGGCTAGGGTGGGGTTCCTTAATGTCATAGAATAGATCTAAAAGGCCAATATGTATGCATGTAGGAAATATTTTTAACGAACTGTCTGACCGGTCAACATGATGAAGCCAGGCAGAAGAATTTCATCAGAAGATGGGAAGGAGTGAGAGCGAGGAGACATCGGTCATTAAATTAGTCAAATTTGGCCTTCGTGCGCGAGATGAAATAACAGGAAATGCTCAAAAGAAGATGGTGCAATGAATATCAGACCACAATGTTCCGACTGACAAAAGATACCTGTAAAAGACTTCGAATTGGACGGCCTGCGACTGAGCGTAACATCGTGAGTTGTGACTCCAAGACAATATCACTTTCATAAGCTCAGGCATTGGAGATTGAACTTGTAACGAATGGGGTCCTTCAATGAAAAGTATCGATACACCTGTATTTGCCCATTCTTTAGAAAGTTGTCAGCATTTGTCCTTCAAGTTTTTCCGTTGGAAACAATTTCTAAACAGATTGTAGTGCCAGAAAGTATGTTCGTGATGTAAGTGAACGAATGCCTAGAGTTAAAAGTAAAATAAATTTGATACTAATTTCACATGCAAAGTACGATCTTTGATAGTATCGGCAAGGGGAATTGCGATGCTAGTAATCTTCTGGGCCGTAGGGACAGGAAAGCTGTAGGAAGCATAATAGTACCAGCAGTAGCAGTTAAAAACTATAATATTTGTATGCATTTGTGAAAGTCCAAAATATTATGGTACCTGAACCTATAACAGAAAATCGAAGGAAGAACCTCTGTTTCACTTGCAGTCTTAGCACACACACACACAGACACACAGACACACACACACACACACACACACACACACACACACACACATACACACACACACACACACACACACACACACACACACACACACACACACATTCTTTTCTCTGTATCTCTCACGAGCACCCTGGCCCGCCGGCCCGCCTGCGCGCACGCACTCACACGCGCACACACACACACACACACACACACACACACACACACACACACACACACACACACACACACACACAAACACAAAAGTACGCGAGCCCTCACACACCCCCGAGAGAGAGAGAGAGAGAGAGAGAGAGAGAGAGAGAGAGAGAGAGAGAGAGAGAGAGAGGGGGGGAGGGGAGGGAGAGAGAGAGAGATAGGAGGGGAGAGAGAGAGAGAGAGAGAGAGAGAGAGAGAGAGAGAGAGAGAGAGAGAGAGAGAGAGAGAGAGAGAGAGAGAGAGAGAGAAAGAGAGATTCACACTTTAGTTATTTAGGGGCCCAAAGCAAACCTTGTCATCGGGTCCTCCGTACTGAACTCCACAGGCGAGTGCTGCGTTGAAGAAGTTGAAAACTAAATGAGTGACCTACGGAACATTCAAAACAACACAATAAGATCTTCAATATGAACAGTAGAAAGCAGATTCAGACTGGAGATAGTCATGTCTTGGGTCTTGTTTGAGTAACTGGAAAAAGAAAGACACCATATCAAACAACATAAAGAGATTTTTAAAAAAATAATTAATTAACCGCAAACATTTCAACATCACAATCTTATATTTTACCTTTGTCGTTCTTCCGTCTTGCTTGCTTTTCTTCCTTTCCCCTTTCTCATACTGAGGCTGTCAACCTCTATTTTCTCCTAGTTTTATTTGTTTTAATCAAGGTGTTACGGGGATTGAGAGAAAATGACAAAGAGAGGGAGAGAGGCAGAGAGAGAGAGAGAGAGAGAGAGAGAGAGAGAGAGAGAGAAAGAGAGAGAGAAGGGCAGAGAGAGAGAGAGAGAGAGAGAGAGAGAGAAAGAGAGAGAGAAGGGCAGAGAGAGAGAGAGAGAGAAAGAGAGAGAAAGAGAGAGAGAGAGAGAGAGAGAGAGAGAGAGAGAGAGAGAGAGAGAGAGAGAGAGAGAGATTGGGGGGGGGGGGGGGTATACTAATCGTTATTTGTAGAGCTTTCGGTATCCTTGTCCAATCATTCTAGCAGTTGCAGGGATGTAGTGGATAGCTTTTTGATAAATCAAAATCTAACGAGTAATTATAAGAATTTCAGTCAAACAATAGTTGCATAAAAACAAAAATACATTGTTAATTTTGTTAAATTTTGCAATACATTAAAGATGCAATGCACTTAAAAATGAAATTTATGAAATTTCTGACGTAAGTAGATACACTTTGAAGAAACTTTACGGTGTAGTCTGCAAGGACTATACGTAGAGACATTGGAAGATTCCTCATCTTCCCATGCAAAGCACACGACCCTCATCAGCCAGAAACAATTTGAACGATGTCGTCACGGTGGCTTGAAAAGGCCAGTTTTAAACTTGTGGAATTTGTAGGTTTGTTTGAAGCTGCTTTTTTTAAAAACGCATTTTAAACTTTTGATGAACAGAGTAACAAAGCGCACAGTAGACAGAATCTAAAGCTGAAAATGCCCAAGGAGCCAAACGTACCCGGTAATTGAAAACAAAGGTGATTCCTGCAAATGCAACACAGTGGACTATGAGTCAGTGTATATTTATTAACGTCAGACTGCACGATGATCTTTACTGTGCTGTCAAAAATTCGAGGCGCAACTTGTCCTCAAACATCTCTTTAACTGGTGAATCAATTTAACCTAAACTTTGCACAGCAGTGAGTATCAATTTATCTTTACGTATTCATATTTTTCAACAACAATTGAGGCTAGATTTAAAAACGTGTCTTCATGAATTTATATAAAATACTAAAAAGGGGGGCAACTGGTCACCCCACAGCTCGTGTTATAGTAACACTGCATGTGTTGGGTGAGCTGTCGCTGATCTCGATTCTCCGACGATGCACTAAGACCGAAGAAGGATTGCACCGTCTCGGTATTTACGGTCTCTGGCCCACAGTAGGCAGTCTAAAAATAAACGCGATAGACTATGCACACGGTAAGCCGTGACTGTGCACTATTCTATGCCAAAATTATGTGAGCCTCGGAGCAATCCAGTGGAGTGCTCAAGTGAATTGTGATTGGTTCATTGTCTTGCTGCTATTTTAAGTGACTCTGTGACCGTGAACCTGAGGGAGGTGAACGTGACATACTTAAGTCACCGTCTTATGAGTTCAACGGTTTTGTAGTGGAGTGGTGAAAGGTATTGCTTGAGTGCTCAGTTCTAATGCAGGATGAATGAAATTGACGTTTAACTAACAACAGATTTAGTTCTAGAAGTCAAAGCCACGAGTAAAAAGAATGAAAATAAAAGCACAAGGTCTTCCTTCGCCAACCCAAAGATCCTAGAATGATACACAATCCCGTTTACTAGGCCCTTGACCATCTTCAGCCTAAGATAGCTTAATTGTGCACGCCCTCTTTTTAGACCCACGAGCCGCCCCTGATAGATAGATAGATAGATAGATAGATAGATAGATAGATAGATAGATAGATAGATAGATAGATAGATAGATAGATAGATAGATAGATAGATAGATAGATTGATTGATTGATTGATTGATTGATTGACGGGGGAAGAGAGAAAGGGAGAGAGAAAGAGAGAGAGAGAATGAGAGTGAGAGAGAGTGAGAGAGAGAGGTGGGGGTGGGGGAAGAGAGAGAGAGAGAGAGAGAGAGAGAGAGAGAGAGAGAGAGAGAGAGAGAGAGAGAGAGAGGGGGGGGGAGACAGAGACAGACAGACAGAGAGAC